TCTTACTCATTTTTTTAAAAAAAAAACTTAATTTTGAAAACGTTTTAAATCGTTGTTAATTTTTAAAAAAATGTCTAGAAAATATGCTGACAAATTTATTTAAATTTTCTTGTTCACAGACATTTTTTTTCATGTTTATTTCTTTATAATTTGTTAAATGATAAACATTGCATTGCATTCAGTTAGTTTGAATTTTTAGAATGTTGTAAATATTTTTTTTTTTTTTAAGCATTACGCCCCAAGCAAGGCGTGAAGCCACTAGGATGCAGGGGGTTGCGGAAGATTTGGAGCAAGAGCAGATAGGAGTGATAGGAGAAAGGATGAGGAGAAGGATAGTGGGTAGATCAAGGTAACTGGAGATGTCGATTGACATTACATTTGAATAGTTGGAGATTATAGCTCTCAGGAAAGCAGTAACTGGGGAGGGTGTTCCACTGGCGAGAGGTGCGAGGTATGAAGCTATTGGAGTAGAAGAGACGGCTACATTTGAGAGTTTCTACGGTGTAAGGGTGGGAGCGGGATGCCAGCCTCGTAGGGCGCTTGAATTCATGGAGTCTGGGAACCAGTGAAAGCAGCTCGTCAGAGCAGTTACCATGGAAGTATTTGTAGAAAAGGCAGAGAGAGGCGACGGCGCGTCTGTGAGAGAGTGACTGCAGACGAGACGCCAGATTAGGGCCAATTAGATTACATATCCGTCTCTGGATCTTTTCAAGAACTCCGAGGTAAGCAGAAGGTGCTTCAGCCCATAAAATTCTTCTTGTAAATAAACAATCTAACGAATAGTGTTTAAAATTTTTGTTCTAAATTCTAAAAGAACAAAGAAAATGCATAAATTCATTTTTATATATTTAGGTTTTATTAAATTTCTAATCGTTGCTTTTTAAAACAACAAACACTACCGAAGGAGTGAAGGTAGTTAAAATAATAGCGGTGTTAAGGGAAAAACCGCCCTTTTGATACACTGTTTTATTGCTGGCACGAAGGTTAATGATTGCTGAGTTTTATTTTATAATAATAAAATCTACATTAACGAATAGGGAATAATGTTTTGTAAAACATTATTCACGTTAAACGGCCGAATATTTGATATTGACTTTTATTGTATCGTTATAGAAATTAGATTTTATCTCATTTTAACTCGTATTTTAAGGCTTCTTTAAAGTCCTCGTCATGAGAACATAATTTTGTACTTTTCAGCTGTAAACAAAGACAAAAATGTTAAATCCTAATGATAAAGTCTTATTAGATATACATTTAACTAAGAAACGGACGTAATTAAAAGGGAAAAAAGAGAAAAACAACAGCTACGATAGATGGCAACGCGAAATTAGGAGCAAGAAAAAAGAAACAAAAATCATATTAAATGAATTAACCGGTTATCGCTCCTTACTCGACAGAACTCGACCGAGAAAATAAAAAGATTTGGTAATCATCTTTATCATCATCAGTCTCTTGACTGCTTCAATCGTGGGAGAGTACCGGACCTAAGGTCAGAAGAATCAGACCCTCTCCTCGGCTGCTTCAATCGTTGGAGAGTACCGGACCTACGGTCAGAAGAATCAGACCCTCTCCTCGGCTGCTTCAATCGTTGGAGAGTACCGGACCTAAGGTCAGAAGAATCAGACCCTCTCCACGGCTGCTTCAATCGTTGGAGAGTACCGGACCTAAGGTCAGAAGAATCAGACCCTCTCCTCGGCTGCTTCAATCGTGGGAGAGTACCGGACCTAAGGTCAGAAGAATCAGACCCTCTCCTCGGCTGCTTCAATCGTGGGAGAGTACCGGACCTAAGGTCAGAAGAATCAGACCCTCTCCTCGGCTGCTTCAATCGTGGGAGAGTACCGGACCTAAGGTCAGAAGAATCAGACCCTCTCCTCGGCTGCTTCAATCGTGGAGAGTACCGGACCTAAGGTCAGAAGAATCAGACCTCTCCTCGGCTGCTTCAATCGTGGGAGAGTACGAGATTTACGGTCAGAAGAAAGAGACCCTCTGCTCGGTTGCTTCAATTGCAAGAGTACGGGACTTACGGCCAGAAAAAACAGACCATCTCCTCGGCTGCTTCAATCGTGGGAGAGTACCGGACCTAATGTCAGAAGGAACATACCATTCTCTCCGCTGCTTCAATCGTGGGAGCATACGGGAAAGTTAGAAGAAACAGACTCCAGGATGATCTTTTGGCGGTGACTCTCAGGAGATCCGGCATTGTCATCTCCGTCCACTCTTTGATGCTGTCTGACCAACTTTTGCCTTGTCGTCTCTACTTGTGTCCACTTTCAACATTGTCCTGCATGATGGTCTTACAGAGGTTGTTATGTTGTGTGACATGGCCAAAGCCTGATATCTTCCGACGCTTAATAGCGGCGATAGGAGATTCCTGTTGGCCTATGAGACTTCTGACCTTACTCCATGCAGTCATTGGTTTTGTACTGCCAGTATGAGATAACAAAGGAATAATCACAAAAGCAAACAACTAGAGATGAGTGGCACATCTTCATAAATACCTGATCACATCCAAACAATAGAGAGGAAAGATTTCTCAAAATGGCTTGAAGTCAAGTGAAACTTATTAGTTGTAAGAGAAAATCTCACTCCCACAAACAACTGATAAATAATAGACACTGTACGAAACAAAACAATTAAAATGCATATTATATATGTATATGACACAGTCTTTGACAGATGAGAACAGACAATTAAATTTAAGAGATGTCAGATGAATAAATTTTAAAATAAAGTCTTTTACATTTAATACTTTATTCTTTTGAACATTTCTAGTTTGATTTAAATTAATACAACAAAATCATAGTATAAAGACATCATATGAGATGTGTAATTAATGATTAGAGAAATCTATTGCTTTAAATGTGCATATTATAACATTCTGCTTTAGTCATCATCATCAGTCTCTGACTGATTCAATCTAAGGCCAGAAAAAAAAAAAAAAAAAAAACAGATAACCTCCTCCTTCCTTTTAGTTGTAGCTCTCAGGAGTTCCAGCATTGCCATGTCCATCCACGCTTTGATTTTGTCTGATCAGCTTTTGTGTTGACATCCGCATATGTATCCATCTTCAATATTCTTCTGCATCATAGAGGTTGTTATGCTGTGTGACATGGTTAAACCATGATATCTTCCGACATTTAATAGTGGCGAGAAGAGATTTCTGTTGGCCTATGAGACTTCTGGCCTTGCTCCATACAGTCACTGGTTTGCTACTCTCAGTAGGAGATGCAGAGGCATTTTCTGAATCATTTGTTCTCAAATGCCTGCATCCTTTTTGCTGCCTCAACCAGGAATATCCAAAGTCTCACACCCATAAAGATGGATGGATATGACCAATGATTTGTAGAGGTTGAACTTGAAACCTGATATTGCTCTTCCATATCCTTTCCAGTCTGATCATCGCTGTGGCGATCCGTGTGTAGAGTTCTGCGTTGCAGCTGCAAGTTTTTGACAGGGGTTTGCTCTCAAATATTTGAAACTGGACACTTCCTCTAAGGGTTCGCCATCTATGGTGACACTGGAGAGGGAATGGGCGACTCCAAATCACCTGAAAAAATTTGGTACACACTGATTAAAAAAAGTAAACATGGAGAATAAAATACACACGTATCAAAAATATTTATCGAGACAGATATTTTTTTTTTTATAAACAAAACACATCCTATCCGAACAAGCAACCCTTCTGTTGACATAAGGAGGATTGTTTTTGGTTTAATGAAAATTGTTTCAATGATTTTTAAATGAAAGTTAGAATGTGATAGGAATGTTTATAAAGACGAAAAAAGGCCGTTACAGAATTAGTGTATACAATTATATAGTGTATAGAATTAGTATATAGAATTATTTAGTCCATAGAATTTGTGTATAGAATTATATGGTGTACAGAATTAGTTCATAGACTTATATGATCACATAATTAATGTATAGAATTATACATTGAATAGAATTAGTGTATACAATTATATAGTGTATAGAATTACTGTATAGAATTATCGGTTAGTCGAGTCTGAATTCCAACCAGGTTCATTACATTCACTTTCTCACAAATAACCTTTGGAAAGGCATGAGCCCATCTCTCCTCACCTCAAATGTAAATGCAATTTTCTCTTTAACACGGCAGACGGGACACTGTATTGGTGGTTGGCAAACAGTATAGGGGAAGGGCAACTGAATGCAAAACCATTTGTGTCTCTGGTGGTGCATAATGATCTATAAGTATGGTCTGTTAAGCATAGTTGCAGTATGAATCCCAGGTGGGCTCTGTGGGTGTTGAAGATACACAATGGGCGTGGTCTCAGAGGATCATGGTCGGAAACGAACAGCGATTCTATAGATGAGAAATCACATTGATTGCAACGTACCCTCAAGTTGAAACAGTTCTTATGATGATAATTTTGTCTACGTTAATTAAACGCTTCAAGGAATTAAACACTTTCAAGGAATTAAACGCTTCAAGGAATTAAACACTTTCAAGGAATTAAACGCTTCAAGGAATTAAACACTTTCAAGGAATTAAACGCTTCAAGGAATTAAACACTTTCAAGGAATTAAACGCTTCAAGGAATTAAACGCTTTCAAGGAATTAAAGACTTCCGGTTTGCAAGAGAAAACGAGAAGAAAGGGAATTGTTTTCTGCGAAACTGGAACTTGGAAAGATGTCGTAGATAAGATTGAGAAGGATCAAAGACTGGAAGGAATCAAAGAATGGCAGGATAAATGATGGTTTGGTTTATCTCTTTTTTACGGTTTATCAACCGAGGGCAGATTATTTAATGCTAGAAAATAATTTTTGGTTTGTAAGTGATTTTGGAGATGATGATTTACTGATACAAATTTAATCCATAGCTTGGGGGAGAAGACGTGGATTCATACCTTCTTCAATGCGTGTAAGCTGAATGCCAATTCCAGTCGGGTTTATTAAACTCGAGTGGAATTGGAACTCGGCTCTCCGACATCCAATTCCTAACCGCTATCTATTACACCACCCACACACCCAACTTTACAGCATCTGGTATTCCCAAGCGGTCACCCATCTAGGTACTGACCAGATTCAAAATTGCTTAACTTCAGTGATCGGACGATAAACAGTGATTCAATGTGATATGGCTTTATTCCCTATATACCACCCGCACATACAAGCTTACAGCTCCTGGTATTCCCAAGCGGTCACCCATCTAGGTACTGACCAGATTTAACATTGCTTAACTTCAATGATCGGACGATAACCGGTGTTTCAATGTGATATGGCTGTACTCCTTATATACCACCCGCAGATCCAAGCTTACTGCACCTGGTATTACCAAGCGGTCACCCAACTAGGTACTGTCTCGGCTTGATGTTGCTTAACTTCAATGTGAATTGTAAGAAAAAAACCTTCTGATGTATTGGAGAATTCCAATTCATTTAAATTGGATGCCATAAGTATGTAAAGATTTTTAAAATGCATCACCGATTTTCCGGGTACAGCCTAAGTATCTCGTCAAAATCAAGATGCTGAATACTTACCAGGCTCAGCCGAAGCGGGCGGTTAATATTTAATATGTATCCAAACCCCAGTCGTCCATCCCTACCGAGTAATATCTTTTCCTCTGGAGGTGGCGTCCCTAAAATCGGAAGTGTCGAGGGGCTTCGTATTTTGTAATCGAATTCACCCCATGTAAGGCAGTAAAGCCACTATGACACAATGGATTACTGGGCGTGGAAGAACTAGAAAACAGAAACATTATTAACGAGCTATAACAATAGAAGTGTAATAAAACAGTAGAAAATTGCATTTCAATTTTTGAAGATCAAAGTTGGCTGCAAGCCAAGAAACCGGAAAAGAGTTCCACAAACGAGAAGTGCGAGAAAAGAAACTGTTAGCATAGAACTTACGGTTACATTTAGCCATTTCAGCTGTAAAATGATGAGACCTTACCGCCAATCTAGTACTGCGCTTAAATTCGTAAAGTCTAGGTACACCATAATGAAGCGCTCATCTAAACAATTACTATGAAAGTATTTATAGAAAAGCCACAGGGGAGCAACTTTACAGCGGTGGGAAAGTGACGGAATCGAGATGCCAGGTCAGGACGAATAATATTGCTTATTCTCCTTTGGATTTTATCAAGAATCTCTAAATATATATCAGGAGCACCGGACCATATGTGACAAGAATATTCTAAGCATGGACGAATGGTAGACTTATAGATATGTAAGATAGATTCAGGAGAAAATAATTGCGCATTTTTTGTCGATGGGCCCAATTTTCACAATATCAGATTCACAGATGGCACTAGACAGGTAGTAAAAAAAATCGAGAAGAAAGGACTAACTATCAATTATAAGAAGCCAGAATGGATGGCCGTCAGCAAGAGAAAAAGTCCCAGATGCGAACGACGAATTTGTAGATGTCAACATCAAATCTAATACAGACGTTTAAATACTTGGAAGTATTTTAACAGAGGATGGAAAATGCGGCTCTGAAATCCGAAGGCGCATTGGGATGGCAAAAGATGCCTTCCAAAAGCTAAGCAAAGTATTAAGAAACAGGAAAATTTCCTTCGAAACAAAGAAAAGATGCATTGGGATAACGAAAGAAGCCCTCCAAAAGCTAAGCAAAGTATTAAGAAACAGGAAAATTCGTTAGAAGCAAAGAAAAGACAAATTGGGATAACGAAAGAAGCCTTCCAAAAGCTAAGCAAAGTATTAAGAAACAGGAAAATTTCGTTAGAAACAAAGAAAAGTGTACTGAACTGTTATGTAATATCAATCTTTTTATATGGCTGGGAAGTCTGGTCAATTTCCACACAGATGAATATATGACTGAAATGTGGGTCTACAGAAGGATGCTGAGAATGTCATCGGCGGAGCATGTTAGCCACAAGGAAGTTTTAAGGAAAATGGAAACACAAAGACGCTTATACTTAAAATCAGTCAGAGCCATTTGAAATTACTAGGACACGAAAAAAGAGGATTTGGAGAATTTGACACTCTCAGGATATATCAAAGGCAAAATGGACAGGTGAAGGCAGCGGGCCACCTACCTGTATTGCGAATGGATGTCGGGAAGAAGAGTGGGGGTGGGAAAGAGACAAATGTTACTAAAGGCAATAAAGGATAGGAAGTTGTGGAGAGTCATAACCACCCACATTTTGAAGGGACATAGAAGAAGAAGTCCATACACGAGTGAGCTAAGACTTGAAACTCGATCTTGTTTTACATTCTGTTTGCGAGGGTAAGGGATTAAATATCCTCGGGCCCAAGGTTTCCACTGACATGAAGTGGAAAAAATATATTGAATCAATTACCACGTCTACTGATATAATTATTGATTGATTCATTCATTTTATACGGTTTGTCAACCCTTTTAAGGTTATTTAAAGCCATAAAATAATTTTAGATTGTTAGAATTTTGTTTCAGATAATAATGATTTAATCTCATTAATTAACCCATAGCTGGGGGAGAAAAGGGGGATTCATACATTTCCCAATGATATTTGCGTATAACGAACCCAATGGGAATTGGAAATTGGTTCTCCGATTAACAATTCGGGGCCATTATTCATTACGCCACTCGCGCATTCAAGCTTACAACACCTGTTATTCTCAAGCGCTCACCCATCTAGGTACTGACTTGGCTCGACCTTGCTTAACTTTGGTGGTCGTACGGGAACCAGTAATAAGGAGTGCCAGAGAAAAGCAATGATAACAACAAAGTTGCTCTTACTGCCAGGTAAGTTGGATCACTGTGTCGTGCCAGAAGAGTTGTCTCATCAATCGATCATGCACATGTATAAATCCCCAATTCGCTCGCGCATTGAATACTGCTGCCATATCTGGACTAGTACTTCTGTTGAATTTCTCGAGATTCTTGAAAAAGGCTCAGAATATCATGAATTGAACATCTGAACAACAAAATTTTAGAGAGAAATGGAAATAAAAAGGACATTTATACTTAGTAGAAAGAGACGGTTGAAATTTATAGGGCACATAATGAGGAAAGATGGTTTAGAAAATGTAACACTCGCAGTACACATTGAAGGCAAGAGGAAAGCAGCGAATAACCTACCTAGCGAGATTGTGTAAATGATTGACGGAATAGGGATTAGGAGCGTTAGCAAAGACAGGAAATTGTGGAGAGCCTGAAGGGACACGGCAAATAATAGTAGTAGTAGTAGAAGTGGTAGTAGTAGAAGAAGTAGATATTTGGCTTCAATTAGAAAAGATAAGAAAGAGAGACAAAGAAAGAAAGTGTAAACGCAAATAAAGAAATAAAGAGTGAAAAAGCAAAGAAGGAAAAAAGCAAAGAAAGAAAGAAAGAAAGAAAGAGGAAAAGCAAAGAAGAAAGAAAGAGGAAAAGCAAATAAAGAAAGGGGGAAAGCAAAGAAAGAAAGAAAGAAAGAAAGAGGAAAAACAAAGAAGAAAGAAAGAGGAAAAGCAAATAAAGAAAGAAAAAGGAAAAGGCAAGAAAGAAAGAAAAAGGAAAAGGCAAGAAAGAAAGAAAGAAAGAAAGGGGGAAAGCAAATAAAGAAAGAAGAAAAGCAAAGAAAGAGAAAAAACAAAGAAAGTAAGGAAAATAGGAAAAGCTAAGAAAGAAAGTTGAAAAGCAAAGGAAGAAGAAAAGCAAAAAAAGAAACAAAAGGAAGATACAAATAAATTTAGAAATCAAAGAAAGAAAGGAAGTAAGAAACTTCACCATTAAAGAAAGAGTTAAGGAACGGAAAGAAAGAAAGAGTCAAAAGGAAAAACCAGAAAGAAGAAAGAAAAGAAAAGAAAAGAAAAGAAAAGAAAACACCAAAATGAAAAACAAAGACGGAAAATCTAACAGAAAAAAAAAAGAAAGAAAGTGAGAGAGAAAGCTCGGAGAGATAAGGGCAAAACAAAGAAAGCAAGGAAAGAAAAAGAAAGAAAGGAAGGAAAGAAAGAAAAAGAAAGAAAAGAATGAAAGAGGAAACGCGAAGAAAGAAATAGAAAGTCTTAAACAAAGAAAAAAGTGGAAAAGCTAACAGTGAAAAAAAAAAACGGAAAAGAAGAAGCAATCCGATCGAAAAAGAAGGAAAAGAAAGAAAGAGAAAAAAAAGAAAGAAAAAAGAATGAGGAAAACAGAAAGAGAAAAAAGAAAGAGGAAAAAAGAAAGAGAAAAAAGAAAGAGAAAAAAGAAATAGGAAAATAAAAAGAGGAATAAAAATCATATGAAAAAAAAACCTGTGGATAAATTTGGCAAGAAAGAAAATAAAAAAAGACAAAACAAACCAATAGACCCCCTCTAAATATTAAACAAGGAAAAAAACGAAAGAAAATAAACAAGAAAGAAAAGTCGATTATTTAGTAAAAGATCTCCAAGAAACAAACATTTAAAATCAAAGCTGAAGCAACATTTCGGTTTTTGCAATTCAAAGAGATTTTTCCATTAATCCCAGGGATTGATCCATCAGGAAGATTTTTGTTGTTGGCGAAGAATTACGAGACATTTTTAGGAATTTTGTTTTTTAGCATAAACAAAAACCAGTTCCTTCAAATCACAACAGATTAAAAGATAAATTAATAAACATCTTTTAGTTTATCTTTATTCTCGCAAAATATTCCCATCGTTGTTTCTGAAAAAAAAAAAAAAAAAACTCCCAAAGAACGAAAAAAAAAAAAAAAAAACTGCAACAAAATTAACCAAAACACGAGATCGAAAGTAATTCTACTCGAAGACAGGCACCGTTTTTGTTTTAAATTTCTTTTTACATTTTTAAATCTGGGATACCCAGTGAGGATCGAACCTTCTATGGTCTTTGTAAGCAACTTGTTAATCTTGACTTCATTGCAAAGCGTCTTGACTTCGGTAAAAATCCATAAGCGAGGAGCGCCTCGTGACGAATAAATTCACTACTAATAGCCTGGGAAGATATTTGGTTAACCATTGCCTTGCGGAAAGACTCCCATATCAGATGTTTTCCACCGCACGAATCCTCTTAGCAAACACCTTCCCCTCCGAAGTACTTCAGCCTCTTGTTTTGCGATAATCACAAATAAATCCGTCTTTGTTCTTGACACGGATGTCCATACGGTGAGACGTTTCTATTTTCTCAAATGGACAACAGCACGTTATAATTTTCTGCTCCCCCCCCCACTCCGTTAGTTACTTAGTATCTGCATTATGTCCTGTAATAGCTTTTGCTTACCTGTCTCTTGCCCACAAATTCTTGATATAGCAGTCGCGGAACGAATGAATCCATAACCCTTTTGTTTACTTCCGGTTTAACCTCACTCTGGGGTACGTTGAAGCTGTATATACGTGTTGCTATAAGTTTTAAAACGCGTCTTTTGGTAAGTATAGGCTTATTACATAATAACCTTTGATAAATAATGGACTATTCAGTTTTGACTGCGAGGAACTAAATGGTCTTCAATTCTGTCCACAGTACCAGATGTTTATTAGTTCTCTCTTTTTTTTTACGAATGTTTACTCAATAATGAGCTCAAGAGCCACTCAAGGTAGAGGGTTACTGAATGAAGTCTTTGATATGAGTAAGAGTAGGAAGCAGAAAGCGAAAATATAGTAATGATTGATGTTTGACTTGAGGTAAAGATTGTAGCGTTTGGAAATCAATTAGGCGAGGGCCTGTTCCACAAAACAGCGGTTCTTGGAGGAAAAGCTGTCGGAGTGGAACTAACTCCTCCGAGTTGGAATGCGCAGGGAAAGAGTTTCGTTCGACTCCATTGGCGTTTGTCCAGATGTTTAATGTCACATAGGAAGCTCCTTGTTCACTACATCGCCCTCGTGAAACTGTCGAAAGATACAGCAATGGCCGAGGTAAAAGGTAAGGAATCGGGTAAAAATAGAAAACACTTGCCAAAAAGCAATAAATAAATAAATAAATATGGAGTCTGTTAAAATAATTACCGATGTTCTTAGAAGAACCAAATTCTTCATTTTCACCCAAAAAATTGTAAGAGCGAAATAAACGGTTCTTATCCCAGAATTTTACTTTTTAAGGTTTTCATTTTTTTTATTCTTTCATTGCTGGAAGTAATTACGCCCCCACAAAAAAAAATAAATAAATAAATAAATAAAAAAAAATAAAAAGATAAAAATAAAATGTTAAAATAAACCAAACTGGAGCAAAACAAACTCTCTATGTGTCTACTTTCATCTTCTAATCCTGAATTTGAATGTTGACATAAGAGTGCAAATGTTATTTTCTTAACATATTTCTTCTTGTGTGACGAAACAGACCTTGGATGGATATCGTCAGAGATATAAAAATTGAGATATAGTCACCCGTTTAAATAATAGTAATAATATTTACATTATTTGGACTGTTGTCCTCATTTTTGTCGCCATATTTATTACAACATTTCGGTCGTTGTACGCTCCGGCCTTCTTCAGGTAGTTGGAATGTCGGACAGAACCCTTTATTTCGCTCACTGGGGTAGACTGTTCTAGTTCCACGGGCCATGTTTAATGGATGTCAGTTATCAGTTATCTCCTGTTAATTTCCCTCTGAAAGTCCTCGACTGCCTTAACCGGATATTGAACTCACACTCTTTGGGTCCTGTTACTGGATCTAACCAACGCCTTTATCCACTGTGCCATGTGTTCTGTGAATTTCTGGGTATTATAAACGTAATGTCTTCAGCAACCACTTTTACCAGTGCTCATATTGCAATTTTGCTGTTATTATTACATGTTTTTACCAGAGCTCATATTGCAACTTTGTTGTTATCATTGCTTTTCTCTGGCACTCCTTATTACTGGTTCCCATATTGTATTTATTTCTATGCTTGGTCGGCTCAGGAGATTTTTGTCGCCTAGCATATGTGCTGATTCCTTAAGTTTACGAATTTTCCAATGGTGTTCCTTGTCTATGATCTCAGACAGACTCTGAAAGATGAGGTCAGTAGTCCAAATAATGTAAATAGTGTACATAATACCTGATCTCAGAAATTTAGACAGATACTTATAAAATTTATAATGGATGCCAGTTGTCAGCTATCAAATATTACTTGGGTTTATACTTGCGTCTATATGCAAATATTTGTTGGGTTTATACTTGCGTCTATATGCAAATATTAGTTGGGTTTATACTTGCGTCTATATGCAAATATTAGTTGGGTTTATACTTGCGTCTATATGCAAATATTAGTTGGGTTTATACTTGAGTCTATAGGCAAATATTAGTTGGGTTTATACTTGAGTCTATAGGCAAATATTAGTTGGGTTTATACTTGCGTCTATATGCAAATATTTGTTGGGTTTATACTTGCGTCTATATGCAAATATTAGTTGGGTTTATACTTGAGTCTATATTCAAATATTAGTTGGGTTTATACTTGCGTCTATATGCAAATATTAGTTGGGTTTATACTTGCGTCTATATGCAAATATTAGTTGGGTTTATACTTGAGTCTATAGGCAAATATTAGTTGGGTTTATACTTGAGTCTATAGGCAAATATTAGTTGGGTTTATACTTGCGTCTATATGCAAATATTTGTTGGGTTTATACTTGCGTCTATATGCAAATATTAGTTGGGTTTATACTTGAGTCTATAGGCAAATATTAGTTGGGTTTATACTTGAGTCTATATGCAAATATTACTTGGGTTTATACTTGCGTCTATATGCAAATATTTGTTGGGTTTATACTTGCGTCTATATGCAAATATTAGTTGGGTTTATACTTGCGTCTATATGCAAATATTAGTTGGGTTTATACTTGCGTCTATATGCAAATATTAGTTGGGTTTATACTTGCGTCTATATGCAAATATTAGTTGGGTTTATACTTGAGTCTATAGGCAAATATTAGTTGGGTTTATACTTGAGTCTATAGGCAAATATTAGTTGGGTTTATACTTGCGTCTATATGCAAATATTTGTTGGGTTTATACTTGCGTCTATATGCAAATATTAGTTGGGTCTATACTTGCGTCTATATTCAAATATTAGTTGGGTTTATACTTGCGTCTATATGCAAATATTAGTTGGGTTTATACTTGAGTCTATAGGCAAATATTAGTTGGGTTTATGCTTGCGTCTATATGCAAATATTAGTTGGGTTTATATTTGAGTCTATATGCAAACGTTGCTTGGGTTTATACTGGAATCTATATGCAAACATAGTTTAGAATTTATACTTGTGACTATATACAAACATTGTTCGGGTTTATACTTGAGTCTATACGCAAACATTGGTTGGTTTTATACTTGCGACTGTAGGCAAAAATGGATGTTTTCTGCTTAAGTCTATCCGTAAACATTTATGAGCCTGTACGTAAACATTGGTCGAGATTTTATAGATATACATTAGTTGGGTTTATATTGAGGCAAATATTCATCGAGTCTGCAATAATTCACTCAGAAAGCGGCCACATCGAGAGGAGAGTTAACTCCTTTTTGTTAGGCGCTACAAGAAGACAGAATATTATTTTTACTAATGTTCACCTTATACAAGACCCAAGAGGCACTGAAGGTAGAGATTTATTGAAAGAGGGTCTTGCGCTAGTAATAAGATAATAAATAAATAAAATAATTTAAATAATTTAATCTCAGCTTGCATGATTTTTGCTACTTTTTAGTTATGCAACTGGTTTTAATTTCATGAATAATTGCCAATTAACTTTAAGATGGCGTATAAAATCTCTGGTACGATATTTTCTCACGGATTTCGACCACGACTCCCGTAACCCTTTAGGTTCGAAGGGGCGCCACATATATTGCTGCTATAGAGCAGTAGTGGTGGGTCTTGATTAAAAAAGCATGACGGGACCCAGCCGTTTTCAGATTGGTTTAAATTTAGACAAGAGGCATAGTTTATGAGGATAAGTAGGAAAGATAAATTTCGGCTGTTCTGTCGTCTGAACTTCTGTCTGAGGCGAAATGTTACTATTATACGTTGATTCTTTCAATTTAACGTACCATTTAAAGCATGTTTATCATCTTTATCACAATATTCTGTTTTAACCACTGGTATTACTCAAATGTCTGATATTTAATTCTACAGTTTTAATTTATTATGTCAATTCGTTTTTGTTTCTGGGGTGGCATTAGTAATTTTGTTTCTGTCTATGAAGTGGCATTGGTAATAGTCACAAATAAATGTCAACTAACGTCGATAAACATTATTTACATTATTCGGACTATTGTCCTCATCTTTGTCGCCATATTTATCACAGCGTTTTCAGCCGTTGTACGCTCCGGCCTTCCGGAAAGAGGGACAAAGGAAATCAATACGTGACATACTTAACGGGCTTAAGCAAGTGGTTGGCAGAAACTGGGTCTGGGAGAATTAACGAAAAGACAAAACTTATTAAGAGCTACAAGAGACGGGAGGATGTGGAGAACCATGATCGCCTACGTCCTGATGGGAAACGGTACACAAAAGAAGAAGAATGTTCAACTTATATAAGGACCAAGAGCCACTAAAGGTAGGGGCTTATTGAAGGAATTTGTTAAGAGTAAGACGTAAGAGGCACGATTTATGTTTAAAACATTATTTATTTACATTTTTATACGAGGTTAGGGATATTTCGTAGTCGCACGTGTTATCAGGGATCGATTTTACATAATATCGATATTATGAACAGGGCTCCCACTTTTAAAATGATTAAAAATCAATGTTTCGATTTTGACAGGTGTCTTGACCTAAGGTAGGTCTACAGAAAACTAATCTACAAAATGTATTTTTCCAACAAATATGTCCTATTTTCACGAGTGGACCAATCTATTTAAGTAGTATCGAATGGTTAAGAAGCTTTCGTTGTGACTTACACAGAAACAATAGTATTTCCATTGCTATAATTATTCTTCTACAAGGTGGGTGGAAAAAAGCTCTAGAAATAGTGAATAACTTTATTAAATATTGCTAGATTTTTATAAAACATGTTTTCATGTTCATAAAACATTTTTCTAAAATATGTTTTCATTTTGATAAAACATTTTCATAAAACTTTTTATAAAACATTTTCATAAAACATCTTCATTTTCATGAAACATTTTTATAAAACCTTTCATAAAACATATTCATAAAAGATATTTTCACTTTCATAAAATATATTCATAAAACTTTTCTTAAAACATTTTCATAAAAAATATTTTCATTTTCATAAAACATTATAAACATTTCATAAAACATTTTCATAAAACATTTTCATAAAGCATTTTCATAAAACTTTTCATAAAACGTTTTCATTTTCATAAAACATGTTTTAAAAACTTTTCATAAAACATTCATAAAGCATGTTTTAATTTTCATAAAAGCTTTTCATAAAACATGTTTCATTTTCATAAAACATTATCATAAACATTTCATAAAACATTTTCATAAAACATATTTTTACATAAAACCTTTTCATAAAACTTTTCCTAAAACATTGTCATAAATCATGTTTTCATTTTCATTATACATTTTCATAAAACATGTTTTCATTTTCATAAAACATTTTCATAAAACATGTTTTATTTTTAACAATATAATGGTAGAATACAGTACAGTGTTTAAATTCTACCTTTTGTACATTTTCTTCCTATCTGGATGTTTAAGAGATGACAGCTTCCGTAGGTATCTTCAACAGATCCTGTACTCATCAGCTTCGAATGATCATTTCTGATGATTTTTTTCTTTTACTGAAGGACGTCGTCCATGTACACTGCGCCGCCATCTTGTACCACGGACTATGACATTTCATGTCGGGATGCAAGATAGTCACACTCGTGCCGTGTTAGGCGTTGTGACATTCTGGGTTACATTTGTCACTCGGAAATAAAAAAAAAGAATTTAGCAATGAAATTGTGCCATCTTAGGGATCATAATATATTTTGTTTCGCGCAAATGTACTGATACTGACGAAAGTTATAAGTAATTTTCAATACGGTGTTTCTTCTAGCCACTCTGTATAATACGTTCTTGTACATAATACGCGCCGATAACTTTGGTCGACTAAATCTTGGGAGGGGGGAATTGTATATCACACGCACTTAGAAAAAATGCGGTGATCTTAAAAGTTATTGAAGGATTTAATTAATTATTTTTTTAAATAATTTAATCTCAGCTTGATTTTTGCTACTTTTCAGTTATGCAACTGGTTGTAATTTCATGTATTATTGCCAATTAACTTTAAGATGGCGTGTAAAATCTCTGGTGCGACATTTTCTCACGGATTTCGACCACGACTCCCGTAACCCTTTAGGTTCGAAGGGGCGCCACATGTAAGGCTGCTAGAGCAGCACTGGTGCGTCTTGATTAGGAAAGCATGGCAGAACCAAGCCGTTTTCGGTTTTCCTTCTCTTAGACTGGTTGCCAACCAAGGCTACATGGTACAGTCCATTGTGCTATTTACCCATAGCTGAGGAGATAAGGGATGGTCCATACCTTTCCCGAGGTTATTTGCGGGTAAGTGAATGTAATGAACTCGACTTGAATTCGATCTCGGCTTCCTAATTTCTTATCCTGAACCGCTATCCACTGTACCACCGCACATCCACCGTAAAAATATCCAGAAGGCGCGCACACACACACACAAAACTCGTCTTGAAAACGTAAGATGACGTTAAAACAAGACATCTATGAGAAAATTCTTCTTCTACGTGCTGTGTCCCTTCAGGGCACGTGCGATCATGGCTCTCCACAATTACCTGTCCGTTGTAATTTGCCTTGTTGCTATATTTCCTAAACCCTATTCTTGCCAACCAAAACTCGTTTGGTAGGTTTTGTGCTGTTTTTCTTCTTCTCTCTTGCCTTCAATATGTCTTGTTAGTATCAAATTCTCCAAGCCCTCTTTCTTCAGGTGCCCAAGAAATTTGAACTCTTTCCTTCTTCTGGTCAGTATAAATGTCCTTTTTGTATACATTTTCTTTAAAACTTTGTTGCGCACAGGTTCTGTCCATGGTATTCTAATCATCCTTCTGTAGAACCACATTTCTGATGCCTCAAGTTTATTTGTGATCAGAATGCCCAGCATTCACTGTCATAGAGGAGGACCTATATTACAAACACTTCAGGACTTTTTCTTTGTTTATAAAGAAATTTTCCTGTTTCTTCGTATGACATCTTTCGCTCTGCCAGTGCGTTCTTCGGATCTCAGTGCCACATTTTTTAGATATTAAATTTTGTTCCCAAGGGTCAGTCAGTCAGTTATGTGCTATGCGTGATACACGCTTAGGCGATCATGTGTCTTTCGATACATGACTGACGAGGCAGATTTTTTCCCGCAGTAGGTTGACATTTCTTTCTGTGGTAGACCAGTTGCCATCCAAGGCTTTAGAACCCAGTCTGTCCTGAAATTTACCCATAGCTGGGGGTGGGGGGAGTAGAAGAGGATCCATACCTTTCCCAAGGGTCAGTCAGTCAGTCATGTGCCATGCGTGATACATGCGAGCATGTATCTTTCGATACATGATTGACGAGGCAGATTTTTTACCCTGCAGTAGGTTGCCATTTTATTCTAGACAAGTTGCCATCCAAGGCTATAGAACCCGGCCCGTCTTGCTATTTACCCATAGCTGGGCGGGGAAGAAGAAGAGGATTCATACCTTTCCCAAGAGTCAGTCAATCAGTTATGTGCCATGCTTAGGCGATCATGTATCTTTTAATACAGATTTTTTCCCACAGTAGGTTGCCATTTCTTTCTAAACCAGTTGCCATCCAATATTATAAAACCTGGTCCGTCCTGCTATTTAACCCATAGCTGGGTGGGGAAGAAGAAGAAGAAGATTCAAGAGTCATACGTGATACACGCTTGGGCGATCATGTATCTTTTAATACAGATTTTTTTCCCATTTCTTTCTCCGGTAGACCATCCATTGCTATAGAACACGCTGGAGAAGAAGTGGACTCATACCTTTCTTCCAGGCGCATAAGTGAATGTAATGGATTTGACTGGAATTCGAACTCGGCTCTCCGATTCCTTAATCTGAGCCGCTATCCATTGCTCCACCGATTTCTAATGTTGGGCTTTTTTTTTTGCCAGACAACCATGCATTCTGACTTTTTACCGTTCTTCTATCTTTTCTTTACTATCATCTGTAAGAGTTCCTGAACTTTCCTTTATGTGGCCTTTTCCTGTCAGTTTTTCTAGCAAAACTATGTCATCGGCATAACGCATATTACGATCGCCAATCCTGTTACGGCTTCTAATTCTCTCTCCATTGTAAAGGTCGAATAAATCGAATAAATCCGGTGAGAAGACCTATCCTTGTCTTCCACCCCTTTCCATTTTTTGTATTTACTGAATTCATTTTTTAGCCATATTTTTTAATCCATTGATAGGTCAGCTGCTAAGAAAGTTGGTTCACTGTGTCGTACGAGATCATTTTTCTCTCCAGAATCTATCTTACATATCTATAAATCTACCATTCGTTGATGCTTAGAATATTGCTGCTACATATGGTCCAGTGCCCCTGTTAATTACCTTAATTAAAATCCAAAGAAGAATCAGCAATATTATTGGTCCTGATCTGGCGGCTTGGCTTCAGTCACTTTCCCACCGTCAAAAGGTTGCCTCTCTATGCCTTTTCTATAAATATTTTCATGGTAATAGTTTGAATGAGCTTTTCGCTTTGTTATTTTATCCCCCCATATACTTAGGATTTTCATAGAGACATTGAGGCATTATGGTGGATGTTGTAAGAATAGTAAGTAAGAACGCGTTGTTTTAGTGGAAGGAATATTGTTGTATGTTTGGGTCAGTGATTGTGTCTAGCTAAAATTAACGTTAAGAAAGAAGACCGTCCTTTTTCCTATTCCCCTTTTAGCCATGTACAACATTGTGTGTGTGTGTGTGTGTATATATATATACAGTGTAACCCGGATATAAGAGAGTTGTCGGGACCGGAGAAGAAGTCTCTTATATCCGGGTTTGGTCTAATTTATATACATTAACACAGGCTCTAATTTGGGACCAGAGAAAATCTCTCTTATATCCGTGTTTCTCTTATATCCGGGTTATATATATATATATATATATATATATATATATATATATATATATATAAAAGACATTTTTATGTTTATACATTCTTTTTATAGATACAAATATTTAAGTAAATGCTCTGTTTATAATAAACAGTATTAAACGACATTTACCAGCCTGAATGTCCGAGAAATTTTCATAGAAAATATTCGTCCTCTGACAGGATTCGAACTTGTATCCTATACGGAACTGTCATATAGCCTGACGTGACTTAACCGATTGGGCCACAGAGGAGCGTTCGGTTAGCAATATCGATTTTACTGTCTTTAAACTACAATCTTCCATGATTCTTTCACGTGCATTTATATCTGCTCATGGCATAAGCAAATGTAAACAAATGACGTGTGAATAATATGCTCTACTTTTGTATCGAGCACTATTTTTAAAAAAATAATAACATAAATACTAAAGAACTTTGGATTATTTACCTAACGAGTTCTTTCCTATTTTCTATATATTCCCCCCTCTCCCTCTCTCTCTCTCTCTCTCACACACACACACACACACACACATATATATATATATATATATATATATGCAAATAAATAATGATCTTCGCTATGGTACTTAGACGTTTAAAATTTAAGCGCATTACTAGACTGGCGTCGAAATCTCATCACTTTACAATTGAGCTGGCTAGATGCAACCGTAAATTCTATTTTAACTGTTTCTTTTCTCGCACTTCTCGCTTGTGGAACTATCTTCCAGCTCCATGCTTTCTACCCAACTTAAAAAAAATTAAATGCCATGTCAATCGCTATCTACTGTCCCTCTGATTACTCTTTCCTCTTCCCGCTCATTATTAATGTTTCTATTCCTAATTTTTCCACACGCTGTAACCCCGTGTGTCTTAGTGGCTTTACTGCCTTTGATGACGATTAAAAAATATGCATGTGGTTTGTTTCCAGTATAAGATCTGTATTATTATATCCATTCTAAACAAATCAAACTTACAGTACTAACAGTCATTTGTGACTGGGAGCCTGAAGATGGATGTTAATCGTGGTTCAGTTCCACAAATATGAAGAGGTTTAAACCATGAGAGCTGTCGTACATTCATGGCTAAAATTGAAAAAATCGTTGGTCATTTCTGCGTCTTGTTTTTACATCGATTGCGAGGATTAAGTTCTATATGTCTCCAGACAGTCTGGTTCTCACAGATTTTTGTCAGGCAGCTGAGAATTTCCTGTTTTCCCTAGCTTTCAATTTAAATAGTATTTGGTTAATTAAATGGCTAGCTAGTTATAAAGAAAAGTTGTGAGAAAATAGTTTATCATATTCTCCAAAGGTTATGTTAATCTTAATGCTTCATAGGCAATATTTAACGAACCAGATACAGTTAAAATACTAAAAAGGCAGCTAAAAACAAAGAGAAATTCAATCAGATTCATTACAGCTTGTTAAATGTGTGTCTTTTTGTGCGAGGGACGCTCCAAAAATACTGCCAATTATTTATTTCAATCGAAACAGCAAACAGGTAAAAATGTCGGTTAGACCAGTTCTTCCCAAACCTTTTTTTTTTTCTCTGGGACGCATTTCCGGTATAAAAAATTGTTCGTGCCTCACCAAAATCTGTGATAAAAAGTATATTAAAAAAAAAAAAAAAAAAAAGAACGAAGAGAGGGTTAAAGAGAGATAACTGTGAATTCAAAGTCAGAACATTATTATTGATAACTCTCTCCTCCAATTTGCAAACCCTAGTTACTATATTCTTAATACTTGATATAATGCAGAAATATCACAATGATAAAATCGTTCAATAAATATTTATAACTATTTATATTGGGACTCATGCATGCAATTACAAGTAATTTATAAGAATCAACTTCTATCCTCATCCACCTTACCAGCTATCCTCTTCCGTCTCACCAGCTATCCTCTTCCGCCTCAGCTGCTATTTTCTTCCGCCTCACCAGCTATCCTCTTCCGCTTCACCTGCTATCCTCTTCCGCCTCATCTGCTATCCTCTTCCGCCTCACCAGCTATCCTTTTCTGCCTCACCAGCTATCCTCTTCCGCCTCAGCTGCTATCCTCTTCCGCCTCACCAGCTATCCTCTTCCGCCTCATCTGCTATCCTCTTTCGCCTCAACTGCTATCCTCTTCCGCCTCAACTGCTATCCTCTTCCGCCTAATCTGCTATCCTCTTCCGCATCACCTGCTATCCTCTTCCGCCTCACCAGCTATCCTCTTCCGCCTCATCTGCTATCCTCTACCGCCTCAGCTGCTATTCCCTTCCGCCTCACCAGCTATCCTCTTCCGCCTCAGCTGCTATCGTATTCCACCTCACCTGTTAACTTCTTCCTCCTCACCTGCTATCCTCTTCCGCCTCACCAGCTATTTTCTTCCGCCTCCCCAGCTGTCCTCTTCCGCCTCAACTGCTATCCTCTTCCGCCTCACCAGCTATCCTCTTTCGCCTCACCTGCTATCCTCTTCTATGACGCGCGACGCGCCATTTGGGAAGCTCTATGTTGCACAATGCTTCCCTCCTGAATCTATTTTATATATTTATAAGTCAACCATTTGCCGAGGTCTCAAATATTACTGCCATATATATTCTGGCGTACCTGCTATGTATTTAGAGATTCTTGATAAAATCCAATGGAGAATCTGCAATGTTATTAGTCGTGATCTGGCACCCCGGCTTCAGTCACTTCCCACCGCGGTATTGTAGGTTTCCTGTGCTTTTTCTATAACTACGTATCTTTAACGTTTTCATATGGAGTTTTCTCTTTTGATAAATAGGTTCAATACAGCCTTTATACTGTCCAGATATGTTCTCTGTCATAGCACGTATATCTATCTATCTATCTATCTATCTATCTATCTATCTATCTATCTATCTATCTAAGTCTTTTAATATATATCTAATTTTGTTTCTATCTCAATATCTACTAAAATCTGTTTCTTCCTTTCTATCTATCTATCTATCTATCTATCTATCTATCTATCTTTACCTCTATAATGGGTTGATATATATATATCTATCTATCTATCTATCTATCTATCTCTTAACATATATCTAATTTTGTTTCTATCTCACTATCTACTAAGATCTGTTTCTATCTATCTATCTGATATGTGTTCATATCTATCTATCTTTAGTTCTATAAATGGTTCATATCTTTATATCTATCTATCTATCTATCTATCTATCTATCTCAATTGCTTCATATTTCTCATATCTATATCTCTTTTTATCTTGTTCCTCCTTTACTCTCTCTCTCTCTCTCTCTCTCTCTCTATATATATATATATATATATATATATATATATATCTAGGCACTTCAGAATCTTAGACACATGCGAAGTGCCACAATCTTGCTTGCGGGAGACTTTAGACAAGCCCTTCCAGTGGTTCCGAAAGGGGCAAGAACTGATAAGTTAAACACCAATATAAAGTCTTCCTGTCTGTGAAGCAGTGTGAAAAAGCCGAGACTCACAACCAACACGAGAGTGCAGCTCAGTGGTGAGGAAGCTGGTCCTTTTTCTAAGCAACTATGTTGACAATGGCACTTTGGTTGGCGATTCAGTTTACCTTTTGGACATATGCTATCTGATT